CGCAACGTGAGAGATCGCGTCAGTGGGAATTGATTTGCCACGGCTTGTGCGACTGTTGCTATGCCGTGAATGCACTGACTAGTGGCGCACGCGGCACGCGCAACGACGTGACGTCAGTTCTATTCGGACCACTTCGCACGCCTTTATTCAATTGGTTAGAGAATCACTTGAATTGGTAAGACCTAGATGATGTGTTCACAGACTACATCCCCTTCACTTGTCCTTTTGCAGCTTGTTTTGTAATTAGTGAAAGTTACATCACCCAAGTCTTCAGGGATGACTAGAATAGCTAGAATATGCAGAATGCAAATCTTCTCAGCAATGCATGCTCGTAGTCACACATTTCTGGTTGCCTTCTAACCTAAAATATTCACTGTTGAAAGATGTCATTCATCAAAAATGTTTATTCTTAACACGAGAATATTGTCGATCAATCTATTACTATTCTCTAGTAAGTGGGCTAGCGTGGACATTCGGTGCGTGGTGTTGCAAGCATCGGTTGCTCAGAGATGTGGTGAAATTTCACTGCCCATATTAAACACTGCTCAGGCACTGTGCCTCTAAGTTCCCTAATTTAACCACATTTCCCACCACCACATTCTCGCGAGTCGTTTGGGTCAGTTACCTGAAAAGCACAATTATTCCATGCGTTAAAATTGGCTCATAATGACGGAAGTCCAATCTAAGCGATCCAGGTCAACATGGTCATGGTTGTGTTATCTTATTGGAAATACCACTGAGTCACAAACCTATGCGTGATTCACGAATCGCTCAGTTGGTGATCTATTGGGCTTGACTCCCCCTATGTCCCTCTCCTTCACCCCCTCGAATCCTTCTGAAAGGTGGGATAAATATCATGGGAGAGGGGGAGAAGGTGATGGCAACTGCTTGAGCTGTAGCGCCCCACATCCTCATCCACTCACTGTGAACCCATCCACGGTTGAACAACGAGCAAGAGGAGATAATATTAATTTTGGCAAAACATTTTCTTGCATTCTACTCATCCAAGTGTCGTAAACCGATTGAAATTGACACCATAATATTACTCATACAACGTCATTGGGTGGTATGGAATATCCCCTTAACTTTCAGCGATAAATTAGAGGCAGCTTTTAATTGCTGAGACCACTTCTCTTTGCAAGAAGCCTGTGTTTCCCTCACCTACAACCACCACCACCACCACCACAAGCCGGTCATTTTGACTGCTGCAGTGCAAAACGTCAAGACGTCAACGACGCCTGCGGACAATGGCGATCCAAAGTGGGTAAGGTGAAGAAATGAAGAAGGCCTCTAGCTTAGCGGTGGCTGAAATCACCTTTTTAGTCTAACTGAGATCGCGGGCATGGAACATCTGCAAGGAGTCCCCTTCTATTCAACAGACGCTCGTCTCCGGTTATGTGTTGATAGAAAACGTCATCATGTGGCGACATGCGTGGGTGCTTGTGCGACGTATATTCTGCATGTCTTTAAAGGCTGAGCATGCCGGAACTTTAGGAATATCCTACTTATTTGGTCATAACTCGCTCCTCCCCACGCACCTCACCAACCTGCTGGGAGGAATGCAGACATACCGGATTAATCCAGGTTAGCGTTTGCTTGAATTCAGTCAGTTTCAGAATTTGGGTAGCTTGCTTGACAAACATGATGGAAACCTGGTGCAAACACTAAAATGCAACTTGAACAATCTCATTCCATCCCCAATTTCCTTGATTTTACTTATAAATTTCTGTTTGTTGGTCAGTTGTAATTTCGGTTCCAGTTTTGTTGTATCAGTGGATTTTGTATTAAGCCATGCCCCTATTTCCAACCAACTAACAAGCGAGCTAGTAGTTCTGCGATGGTTGCTATTGGTGCGTTGGCCAGTGGCAAATCTACAGGCCTCATCCACATCGACTTCACTGTTGCAGTGCCTTCGGTGGCTTCCGATGAATCTTAGCACCGTGTTTTGTTCAGTTTGAACTGATAAACCTCTATTTTTGGTCTTTCGTTTTGTCTATGTCGAAATCTCAACCTACGTGAGGTGGTCGGTAAACGGTGCAATAAAATTGGTTAAAATGAACGTGAACTTGGTTCAAATCGAGACCTTAGACGGAAAAACGGAAAGTTTGACCCCGCTGACGCATATCAGGGATAAACGAGAAGAGTTCTGCGCGGGTAACCACTGATTCCATTGTGGCAATTTAGTTGACTATTATCTCTGTTGACGTAGCCAGCAAATGCGCGAAATCAAAGAAAAAGTGGAACGAAGGCAGTGTCACAATTGCTAGATGAGTATGCGTGGAACTTAGGTGACAAGTCAAACGATGCGGAGGCTAAATATGAAAATAAGGACCACGAGGGAAAATGGATCATGAGGATAACAGCTGTAATGCTATTGGTAGGTGGTCTACACTTTTCGTGATCTGGAATTGGACCAAAGTCGCTGCGGGGTGGCTGAAAAAATAAAAAACTTACAAGGCCAACATTCTGGACGTTGAAGCATAATTTATTTAACATCTGCTTAGATTAACCAAACAGTCGACTTCGTCAAGTTTACTTGCTAGTCGGACGATGCAGATTAGGGAAAAGTATGTATAAATTCATAATGAACGCATCTTCGATTTTGCAGTGTACGAAAACATCAAATCCATGTGCGATTTGGATTGTCCTGACACTCAGCAAGTTGAAAACCAAAAGTGCGCATTCGAGGGACAAAGAAGTTGGGGTGCATGTCTAGCTTCAACTTGTCTTCTAATGTCACAGTTATTTGAAAATTCCATGAGACAAAGACAACTTCTGTGTATCTGTGGCCATTGAATTCTTTACAGCTGACTGTGTGCTGATTGGCAGTGCTCTGTACCATTCAGCAAACTGCCACTTAAACAACCGGGTTTTAAAGCGTCGAAATGGGAACTACGCGTGCTCACTCATCCAAATCGTAGTCAACGCAACTCCTTGTAGGTCGGATAGGGCATTGGGGCTGGTTGTGACTTGTTCTCCGTCACTGGAGCAGAGTTTAGCTAGATTAGGATATTAGAGGCATCTGGGGTGTTGTGGGGTGTTCTTCCGATTTTATCCTCGACTCACTACCAAATTATTGTCATGTGCCATTCCGCATTTCGTTGTTGCCAGGTTGAGTTTGAAAACTTCTACCACGCCCACTCCCTTTGCCTCCTCCAATCGTCACCTACGACTTCGCAACACAGGATTAACGCGCATGGCATGACGCGTGCGTGATAACTCAGGTATATTAGCTCACATTGCACAAACACGCTCCGTGGCCTGTGTGCAATACGGCAACTCGACCACACCTCACAACATCTGGCCGGTTGTCATGCCAAGATAACCGCGGTTGCTGCTCATCACACCATCGTTCTGAAGCCGTTCGATCACTACTGATGAAGTGAAAGGAGCGTTTCCCTCTAAATCTGCTCTTCACCAAAACAAACGTGATGGGTTCCAGCGAGGTCGTTCTCTCTGAGTTTTATTACTCAAGGCAAGCAATTTTGCAGAGTCTGTGACTGGTCATGAATGGTTGAGATGTGTAATTTGTTACGCTGGAAGATGAGATAACTAAAACACTAACTACGCATACATTCCTGTCCAGCACAAACATCTGATGCAGTCTGCATTCGTAATTCATGCATTAGTGGGTCAAGTGGGTGGGCAGTGCTAAACCTACTGCTGACCTAACTATTCACGAGTTGTTCTTTCGTTGTAAACTGGACAACGTCGCGTCTTGTCATTCCAGCCACTTCATTAGGAGGCGCTAACAGTGCACGCCTAACTGGTTAATAGAAGCGCTGGTGCAACACTGCTTCCCTCCTTCCGTAAGCAATTCACTGAAGATAACGCACTTCTTTCCAAATGACAAATTCACTGACCTGCCAACACGGCCATTACAGTTCTCATCGCATAGTGCACACTTCTGTTTTCTCTCACCGATTCAGTAGCCATTACTCCCTCACCACAGCCACAACGTGACCGCTACTGACAAGCAATCACGTCATACCCTCTCCTCACCACCCCGCAAGGCGTTGACAAGTCCGTCTCCGTCATATTCTGACCACAACCCCCGCAACATCTCATGTTTTACAATATATCATCTCACCTGATTTTCATGTTTTATGCCGAAACCGCATTATAAATTTGGCTGAATATGAACATTACCGGAATAGTTTAGGAGCTGGCAACAAAACGTGATCAGCACACGTGATCATCACACCCCAAGCCATTCACACCTTCACATGTTGCTATACCCATAATGCAACCCCAGCAACAACCACGGACACTTTCACACCGTTCACGCATTAATCTCCACGCCCACAACCAAGTGACATCCGCGTGTTAAGATGGCATTCCAGCCTTCACGAGTAATGTTTGCGATTTGACTGGATTTCCCAACGCAGTTTAGTTCTATTCTTTTGAGCCAGATCTTGTGCTCATTGGACAGTGGCATGTGAGTGGATTTCGACTGAAGTCTCAGCGCTGGACGGTTGGATCCACCGTCATCGAAGCTGTCCACACATGAGCAGATAAGTTCCCAGATATGTAGAAGGGATTCCGGTACATAGACAGAAGCTGGATATGATGTCCCGGAACTTGGAAATTAAACTCAGGAAGTAAAAGCGAGTATGCTGTGTCAGACACGTGGACGTGGATCGTTTGTATCCATCCAAGATTACCCTTTTTATTTTACCACGTCACGTCTCCTCGCAACCACGTCTTTCATCGTACCTCAAGCGACGAAACTACGACAAATTGGTTAGGTACCCATGAAAACAAATGCACCTGTCACCTCATCCTCCATTTGAAATTTGCGATGAATCATATGGAAAATACATCTTATATTCCTGTAATATACACTAAAATTCTCAGTTAAAAATAGTGGTGTCAGGATGCAAAATCACAGATTTGGGATGGGAAGGTGTGAAAAATCTTTAAGAGACACAGATCAAGTCTCGTATGGTCTCCACAACTGGGTACCCTTGTCGTGGCGTATAGGAATGCTGAGATCCAGAGGGTAGTCTTGAATTTTGGAGATATTTCGGAATTGACTAAGTGGTAGGTGATGGTGTGTTCCATCAAGAAGTCGACGAATTGGGGTGAAGGTGACGTCGGTGTCGGCACTGAATTTTGGCTGATTGTGGATATGCAGTTGGAGGCAGCTGGCGAAACTGTCGTGGTATCCACTCTCGGGGGTCGCATTTGCGATTTTCAGAGTCTTCTCAGTAAGTGCGGTTGATGGTTGGATGGGCGTTGGTGAAGGCATACTTTCCTTGTCTTGGTGGACTGAAGGGTCAGTTCTCGAGCCTAATGTTTGTCCAACCACTGTTCTCAGTCTGGCCTGTACTTCAGGCATATCACGCGTCACATGCAACAGGGTCTGAAGAACCTCTATACAGGTGTTGAGAAGAGTTTTCTTATCTAACCGACTGTGATTCCGTGACTGCAAATGACGAAGTCGAAATTAGGATCCCGTGTAATGCAATCTCATCAAAAAAATCGACCAAATCATACTTACGTCGCCACCGACCAATGACATCACTAGGTCATAAAGCTCTCTCATCTTTTCTGAAATACGCGCTCGGCGACGTCTTTCGAACTCCTGTTTTTTAATCTAAGAACAGAAGGAGAGTTAAGTTAATGGCTCAAGCATTCGGAATTATTTGACATGGTGGATGGAACATACCCTCCTCATGGCCTGTCGTTGTTCCAGCTGCATTGTTGATCCGCGTCCGCGTTTGCTTAACCCACGAGTCTGCTGAGGAGACATTTCGAAGGGACGAGCTTGTGACACAGTGCCTGTGTAGGGGCTTTAATTTGTCGCGGTGAAGCGCGGCGCTCATTGGCTGAGACAGGAACCAATCACGTGTCAGTGAATGTGGCTCATCCAGACCCGTGAGGCCACGTTTTCACCAATGAGGGACAGAATGCGTTTCTTAAGCACGAGCTCTGATCCTCAAATTATCCTTGCCACACATACAAGCAAATTTATTAGGCAGAGTTTAATTGTTATTTTCTGCATCTGCAATAATTGTATCTGGTTAGTCAAGGTATCTGTAAATTTGATCAAATGGTGTGCTGCAGGTCGAATCAACAAGACGTCGACGGCACCTGTTGACAACGTCCCAGTGTGGATCTGTGAAAGACTTGGTGGAGGCGCTTGGCTAAGTGGTGGCTGAAATCTCCTTCAAATCCAACATGAGTTCCCAGGCATGTGGTCAGCTGCTAGTAGTCCCCCTCCACTGAACACCTGTGTCGTACGCACGCTGATGAACTGGTCTCGTGGAATTTCTCAAGTGCACTTCATTCGCTTCACTGAGCATCCACCTGAGACTGTGGCCAAGTGCAGTGCTAATATGGCGATGTTACCAGGGTAATAGAGGTGACCACACACTGTGAATTGAGATGGATCATGTCATGTTGTGGGCAGAAGAATGCTAATCTGCGGTTGTGTGTTGATGGAAATCGTCATATTGTGACGACACTAGTGACACCGTTTGCTAACGATTGAACACATGAACAACAAGTTCTGTCTGTTACGGTAGCCAGCGAGTCAGTACACGCATGGTGTATTGTCGACTGAATTGTCACACCGCCAGGCAAATTCAATCCGGCTTGATGCGAATTCCAAAATCGGTGTCATCGTTCATCCCTTCCCACACCCACGAGGCTTTTGTGAATTCGATAGCCAGGGCAATCCACACCAGAAATAAGCAAACAAATTAGTTTTAAACTATGAGTGAAATGGCGGGAGACAGGCGTTTGACCCCTGAGTGTGGTGGCACGGTGAGTCTAGACAATGCGTTCTGCTCCCCATGCCCGAACTACCACGTGTCTCACATCACCGACAATGCGGTGTCTGCAACTTTGATGGGGC